GGGACTATGGAATCTCGAGTAAATACATAAATGGGTTTTAAGTCTGGATGAATAGTAATCACAGAAAATGGTAACGGCATCGAGAATCTCGAAAAAATATTTTACCAGGGCTAGGATCAGAACGGGGTTCTGTTGAGTGAGAGACGGTTGGAATTGGGATGAAAAAAACAGATCCCGCCGGACCCTGATTGACCCAGTAAAAACTGTAAGATCATTATAATCAATTTCAACCTATACTACAACTAATCTTAATTGTTCTTCAAAGAAGTACTCAACAATATAGAACGTTTATCAATTTTCTGGTTGAAAAATTAACATCATTAAATATATAAGTTATGATAGCTTCAAGAAATAAACGCAACATTTTATTTAATTATATTCCTGTTATAAAGATATTTAAATATATATTTTTAAAATAGTTTGATAATCAAAATTGAGAGAAATGTGTTTTGATCACCACATGCAATTGATTACCATGAAGGGAATACTTTTGATAACCAGAGTTTTTTGACGTTGCGATATTGCATTATCTCTTCTTTGTTCATTCAGTATCACTTGCATTTCATCATCGTATATCTTCGGCTAAGTTGTACAAAACAGTGACAAATATTCATTTTAAAAAAATATCAGTACTAGATTGGAATTTATCGAATGTGGTTCATTCACTTGACGAAGTGAATACTATTATTAAATCAAATGATAATTGTCAATGTCGAATAAATAACCTTGTGAATTCTACAAAATACTCATTCAAATGCAATCAATATCGCGACTATCTCGAGGGTGTAGGTGTAATAGCTATAATGCCTACACCCACACTCACGGTAAATAGGTATTAGTAAAGTTGTATAAGTATTTCTGGTCTTGTTATCATATACTTGATTATTATTGCCATCATACTTTTTATAAAACAAATATACTAATTGAATTCTGAAAAAACTGGTGATCAAAAAAATTTCCACTCATCAAAATCAATAGTTTATATTGTACATATTACTAAAAGTATTCGTACATTACAAAAATTTCTGAATCATTGCTTTTAATTTTATCCTATTGCATATTGGTATAACCGAAACATGTTGAGTACGCACACTAAAAGCTAATCATATTTGTGACGATAACAATGAGTCATACAGAATTTTGTTTATTATGAAAAGAACAAGTGGATCGATAGAATAATTTATTGTTTATATATATTATAGTTCATTTCATGCTGAATCTTATGGAATATTTCATTGTATTAAGTAATACAAAAATAAATAAATCGAAGCAGTTCTTTCTCTCCAAGATAGATTTAAGTTATCTGTCTGAGAAGTATGATAACGAAAAGCATTTGCTTTTATAGGAGAGTTCACATTTTTATTTTCTATTATCTATTGTCCAAATAAAAGATAGATATGGTAAAGTTACGTTGATATTCGCTTTTCTTTCGAAATTTTACTCAACACTAATATAATACAATATTAAAAAAAAATGATTTTATTGTTCAATATCAATAAATTCTTCTTCTTCTTCTCCATCATCATCGTCATCGGAACAATTTGTTGATTGTGACGTATATTCCTCATCATCAGAAGTACATGATGATGAAATAATTGATGTACTTATTTGTTTTTCATTTTCAAGTCTTTGTAATTCAGCAAAAGATGGAATTGAATTTTTCTTTGGACGACCTTTTGGTTTTGTTGGTATTTCTTTAAAACCATCTAGCATTACCTTTATAAAATAAAATAATTAATCAAAAAAGAAAAATAATTACAAACGAAACAAACTTGTTTTTTCCATTTCATTCGACGATTTTGATACCATGTTTTTATTTGTAATTGAGATAAATGTAACATATCCGCAAGTTCAATACGATCCGATGTTGAAAGATATTTTTGTGTTTCAAAACGTTTTTCAAGACTAATTAATTGTGCATCTTATTTAAGAAAAATATTTAATTTTTCAAATTCAAAATTTAATTTAATTACCAGAAAAAACTGTTCGTGTTCGTCGACAACGTCTATGATGAATAAAATTTGAATACATTGAATCGGATTGTAAAATTGATAAATGACAATGATGAGAAGAATTTGAATGACATGATGAAAATTTTCCTTGTTCAAAATTTCTATTCGAACATAAAGATTTATTTATTATTGGATAAGTATGATGTGTTGATTGATTTGATGATTTAAGAATATCATCAATTAAAAATGATAAGGGTTTATCAGTAAATCTCATTTTTGTATTCTATTGAAGATAAATTTGACTTTGATATAGTTATATATATATGTGTAAAGAACCAATGATCGTTTGAGTATCCTGCTGAGTGGAATACCATGAAGAGAGAGAGAGAGATATCTCATTATTTTGAGAAGATGAAACATGATTGGATAAAAGTAAGAAAGATATATCTATTATTTTTAGAGCGAATAATTCTATGAATATAAACATCAACCAGTAATATAGCAATGATTGTGTTATCATTATATATATATCAAAATAGACAGAGATAATACCTGCTTTTTATAGACAATGACAGTTGTTTTATTTAAAGGTTACCTAAATAGAAACTAGTTCGAAATTGTTCTTTATATTGAACCGTCTGATTGAAAGACGACACAGAGAGATAAGAGATTTTAATTGCATATATGTTGATAGTAACCATATTGTGCATGGAAATAAAAGAATTAATTTTACCAGTGACGGATTTAGGGAGGGCGATCGCCCCCCCCCCCCTTCATAAATTTTTTTACAGCAAAAAAAAGTTCACACTACTTCGACTGGACCCAAAAAATAGTTTTTAACCAAAATCCGCCACTGAATTTTATGTCATAAAGAGAAATATAGATTTTGAATAAAATTACATGAGATTTAACAAGGATCATCAGTCTTCCAAATACATCAGCTTATTGTGAATACCAAAACTAATATTTCGCTTTTCATTCGTTATAATGTTCGTTCAGGAATTCTCTTATGATTAATATTGTAAAACATGTAATAACCTTGTGAAGAATTATTTGCAATTGATTATAATGTAACATTTTATAACTGAATGAAATCTATTATTTATTTAAAACCATAGAAAATCTTGTGAAATATTCTATATAAAGTAATCAATTCTCTTTTTTTAACATATCGAAAATATTGAATTATGTTTTCTCTCCTCCTTCTCTTTCCATGCTGTGCAAACTATGATCATCATCATCATCATCAATATGCAAGTGATTAAAAATGAAGTCCAATGTTATATATACATATTGTTTTGTTGTTATTTGATTATGATCCAATCCGTCAATGTTTTCTTTTGCTACGCATCATACGTCACCTTCGATAAATTTCATATATTATCAGATAGAAATTCTTTCTCAGCTTGATATGTGATTTGATTATTTTTCAATTATATTGTCTGATGAATATCATCCAATAGTAATTGATGCATAATTTATAACTGTGTTTAGTTTGATATAATTAAGTAGATTTCAGCTCTTATTGGATAGATCAACATGATCTATAAACTAGACGAACTATTCGTTTGTTTCGAATACCACTATTGATATAAAAATCTAATCAAATAAGAAGAAAAAGGTTTCTTAATGAAAAAAGAAAAGGGAGTAACAAGAAACAAAGAAAATTAAATTTCATTTTCTCTGTCCTATTTTTTTTCTCTTATTCTTTCTATCGATAAAATATAATATAGTTGTGCATACACAATCAAAAGTTTTATTTGGATTATCGAAGCATCATAAAATGACAAAAAGAGAAATCTCTCCAGGTCGAACTATTCATAGAATTGATTTAACATTACCTATTGTTCAAAGAGATGCTTATGAAATCTTCTGTTCAATACCTTCAACCCATAATCTACGTACATTATGTCAAAAACCATTTGTTGATAATGATAATAATAAAAAGAGTGCAAATTTACCAACAAGAAATCGTTGTTCAGCTCGTCTTAAACATCTACTCGGTCCTCCATTTGTTAATTTATTTATTGATGTAAACACAATGACAGCTGAAACAGTATCCACAATAACTGATACTATATCAAATCCTAGTTATCGTAATCGAGTATTAAAAAATCTACCAAAAATCAATAAACAAAAACATCTTAAAGATGATGGTGATCAATCTCGATCATCAGCAGATGATAGGCTTCTTTATGAATCTATTGGATCATTTGATGATCAAAATAAATATAAATCAAAAAATAATAATATGTGGCAAAATATTCATCATCCACAATTAACAACAACAAAAACTTTACATACACGACGAATGTCAAAACGTTCATTATGTTCAAATGATTTACAATCAAAAGTATCATATACAGCATCACTAGATAATCTTTCACAACTTTCAACTACATCAAATATTGAACAATTATATGAACGTATTGAACAATTAACAAAAAATTATTTTCCAACAATACGAAAAATACGTCATAGTCGTCCAACGCCGGAATTAATTAATAATCGTATACATTTACATCGTGTACAAGAAAAAAATCCTATGCCAGTTTTATCTCGAACACGTGCTGTTCAATAAAAATAAACACAAAATATTTTCTTCTTTTTTTACAAATTCAATAAATTGAATTGATATTTTATTTTGAAAATAATTTCTATTACGTTATTTTTTAATATTCTACTCAATTCCTATTAGAACAGCTGCAATATATAATCTTGCAAAAAAATATCATGAAGTGAGTTTTTATTCTTATTAAAAAAAAAATATATACTCTATAAATTTTGTATTACTTAAAAACTGAATGTACTTTTTTAAGGGACATTACGAGAATGATTATAAAAAATTTAATAAAATTCTTTCATATAGAAACAAATATTTTTCCAGACTAACGTAGTATGACAGATCATAGAATAAGAAGCAAATCCAAGGGGGAAAGAGCGGAATCCGAAATAGTTTTATGAGATCCTCAGAAACCCAGGGACGTATCTCTGGAATCCACGGGACGTTTTTTGACTCTTCGGGATCCCAGAGATTCCCCAGAACGTGTTTTTGGAATCCTCGGGAATTCGGATTCCACTCGTTCTTCCTTAAGCAAATCGTTCTCGAATAGCTATTTGATGATACAACAGATTTTTTAAGACTCATAATTTTCCGAATGTCTAAAAACCTTGTTTTCTTGGAAATACAATGTGATTTATTCGTCTTTTCGAGTGGTCTTGCTAGGTACAATACCAGACTATCTGTTAAAATCATCCCGGGAATTTTAAACTGATTTACCGATATAGTATGACGTAGTAAAGAAAACATCTCTTAGAAGCGACATTCGATCGTAAATATCACAACTGAATAATCCAATAGGTACAAAAATACTACATAAGTTTTGTATCATCCTTGATCTGACTTTACCTTCTCCCATTAAAAAAAATCGAAGAAAAGACATTCCTCCCTGATAGTTGGAAAAAAAAGTGTTTTTTAAGTATAGTATTCATATAGTTTAAATTTTCTATATTGAAATTAGTTCAGTACGATTCTTAAGAATAGTCTGAAGACTTATTTACTAGAATCTCTTACCAGTGTTGCCAACTCTTCCGGTTTTTTCAGAAAAATTCCGGATTTTCCCACTTTTTCCGGATTTTTTTCGGGTTCCGGATTTTTCTGGATTCTAGATTATTTTTATTAAACTAAATTATATATGTCTGTCAATACTCAAAAAAAATTTTTATTTGACAACGGCTCAGTGGCTTATATTTCTTATATATTTAGTTTATTATATTCTGAATTTTGATGTTGACTTCCTTTTGATATATTGAAACATGTGTTTTTTGAAATAATAAGCGGTATAATTGAGAACAAGATTTAGAGAAACTGATTTTAGTCGATAGAAATTAACTGTTAAAAACCTTTCCGGATTCAACAAAAAAAAGTTTCCGGAATTTTCCGGATTTTCACATTAGAATTCCGGTTTTCTGACTATGACAGTTGGTATCACTGGTCTCTTACTCAACTTTTTCGGTCACATTGATAATTTTTGGCAAGTTTTCATAGAAAATCAGATATTGACTCGAAATATTGATCACAACTACTCACTTCGTTTATTTAGAAAAATGATGTTTTATTCCGACATATATCTATGTAAAAATAAAAGCATTTCAATATTCTCATTTTCGAATGCGTTGTTCAATTTTTTTGTGTTTTCTTTCTCGAAAAAATACATATTTATTAAATCTTCCTTTTTACATAAATATACATCGAAGCAATTTTCATTCGATACACATCTAATAATCAAATATATGAATAAAATATAAGCATACGATGTATATATATTTCAAAGTTAATCCCGATTAACTATTATTTTTGAATCATAGACACGAGAGAATTACTAATATCATCTATCTTTGACGTGTTCTTCTATTTATTCATTCTGTCAATGACGTCATTGAATAAAATGATGTCATAAGCGTATTTATCAGTTACACACTTACACGTACACCTCCGCTTTTCTTTTCTTCGCGAAGAATACGAATAAAAGTATATTAACTGTTGTTATACATATGAATACGTATCAAATTTAAATTTTATTCAAAACATTCGATACGTAATGGAACAGTTGCAAAATTTCGGTCCAAATGATGTGCAAAATGGAACACTTGCAAAAATGTTTCGTAATGCTGGAATTGATGATGTTCGATCTTATATTGATGAAATTCATGAAGAAAATGTTAATCTCAACGATCAATCAATACCTATGTCAAATAACAATGATTTAAATACTTCTGAAACATCGAATATTCAATCAAATAAATTAGGTGGATTTTTAAATAATGCACAACAAATATTTGATAAACATAGTAATGGAAAAAATAATATAAGTAACGTCAAACAAATATATAAAATGGTAAATTAAAAACAAAATAAAAGCTTTATATTTATTTATTTCTTTTAGTATAAATCAATGGATAAAAATGGTGATGGTAAAATAACAGTTGAAGATGTTGAAATTATTCTAAAAGAAATGGGTCTTGGTTTTGTTAGTAAACATTTAGCACGTGCTATATTTGATATTGTTGATGCAAATCATAATGGTCAATTAGATTTTCATGATTTAATAGCATTAACAAGTCTTCTTAAACGTTTATCATCTTCTTCGACATCTTCAGTCAGATAGTAATTTTATTATTTTAATTTTTTTTTCAAATAAAAGAAAAGCAAATTAAGCATCTTTTTTTTTTTAAATAAATAGTTTATTTTTTGTTCATGTATATAAATATTTAAAGAAATCCAGCATCCATCAATGAATGCATATCTTCAACAATTTCTTTAATAATTGCACGATTTACAGTTGAATTTGGATTAAATGAATATTCAAGAAAAGCTAAATTTGATACATAATTAAAAACAAAATCGATACGAGCATGAGATTTTTGTGTTAAATGTGTTGATATTATTTTATGGGTTAAATCTTGACATTCTTTACACATACGTGTTAAAACTGATCGATCAAATGTAAAATCAACTTCATATAATGTTATAATAGATTTTGATAATGAATGAAAACGATTACGAAATTCATCAATTAATTTAAGTTGATGTTCAGTAAATAAATCATTTTTATATAAAATACCCATTTTAACAATTGTTTTAATGATAGATTTTAATAATTTGTCAGCATCTTTTTTACCGGAATAATTACGTGCTAATTTATGTATATTATCTAATATACGACCACTTGTTTCATCAATAAATATTTTTGCGACAGATTTTGATGATAATTTACTAGGACAAGATGAAAATTTATAGTTAATCTTTAAATCATATAATATATAATAAATACCTTAATAATTTCTTTTGCGCACGTACACCAAGACTTAAAGCAGAAGCACTTGTTGGAATTTCTTCTTCGTCAGCTAGAAAAATTTTATTTAATAAAATATGAAGGTATTTATTTTCAAGAGGAATTCTTAAGTTAATAATATTATAGTGTAAGCTTTGGTCCTTAAAAATACTTTCCAAGAACTTATTTTTTTCAAATTAAACAATGACTCATGTTTATACTTTTAAGTGAATTCTACAATATTTTAAAAAGAAATATAAAAACAAACGTTTTTCTTTTATGCATTTATATGAATAAGTTCCTCAAGAAAGTTAGTTTCATGTTGCTAAGTAATAATCCTTTTATAGAAATATTGAAATTTGACTACTTACATTCGGCAGTTGCTTCTAATTGACGTGCAAGTTGTTGTGAAACTGATGTTGCTTGTGAAATGTCTGGTTTAGTATTCGATTTCGATGACATGGTTCAATACTTAATATATATATTAAAAAAATAATAGTATCACCATATCAATATTAGAATAAAGCAATCTGTCTACAGAAAAACATGGTAGTTCTTTCACTATATACGCGCGTGATGTGTTCAGCTTCAGTGATGTCAGTTTTTCTTCTTCTTTTTTTTTCTTTTCCTTTTCTCCTTTTTCTTTCCGGACGTTTCGTTCTATCAAAAAAATGACGTACGATAGTGCAAAAAAAAAGGGGGAATAGAATATAATCTAGAACTAAAGAATATTTTAAATTGGATTTATCACGAACAAAGTTAGGCAGATGTTTGCATTTTCTTTTGACTTAAACGAGACGAAGAAAAAAAGAAGAAAAAGTAGAGACGAAGTAGAGCTTTAATAATAAAAGTGTGAGAAGGAAGAAAAACATATACGCTCATTTTTTTTTCTTCACACTACAAGTAAAAGAGAAAAAAAAGCGAAGAAAGAAAAGAAAAAAAATAAATATATATCTGTGGTGTGTCCAATGTGTAACTGACGCATAGAAAACGATCGTCTACTTGTTTCTTTACTTTAACATTGACACATAAACTTCAGCAAGTGTATTTTTCTTTTTGACATAAACTATGTGAGCGATGGAATTTCAGTGCAACTAATATCACATATCATTTAAATATATTTATGTAATAATGTGTGCGTGTGTGTGTGTTTTTTGTGATTATATGACCTTGTTTATGATTTGAAGTTATATTAAAGAACATTAAATATTTTATTATCGTGACATCTAACATTGATTAATTCAACCTGTTTAACAAATATACTTAAGAATATTTTCTTATCAAATAAATAGTAAAAACATGATTTTAACCAATTGTTATTTCTTTTGACAATGAAATGTGATAATTAGTTTGAATATATATATTATTGAAGTTTAATAAGCATTTAGTATGATTTTAAAATATCATGGAAAAAGGTTAATTAGTAAAAGGAGTCCGAGAATAATTTGAGCTGTCTTATGAAATATCATGTTGGATATTTCCGTTTATGTTGATATCGAAATATATCCGGTGTTCATTTTTGAAAAAAATCCTTAAAAAATATTGGATTTCTTGGACTGGTAATTGCTGGATGATTTTTAGAATCTTTTATGTGGATATTTCATAGAACGTAGAGAGAAGTATTTGAATTTTGGAGATACGAATATAAAGCGGATTTTCACCACAATACATTAAGATGATTAAATATTTATTCCTTTGCTCAACGAATCTGATGATTATTCATCCGAAAAATTCTAATGTTAAACTAACCATCTCAAGATGAAAGATACATTTATATGATTTTCCGTTTCAAAAAAAATTAAATTGTAGAATATATAATAAACCATAGTTCTTTGTAAAGTAGATTGATTCAAAAAATACTCTATACTATGTGCAAAGATACTTCTTATTCTAAGGATACCAACATAATTTAACACGATCAGTAATTGTCTATATAACTAATGCAAACACTTAAAATTGTATTTTCTTTTTATGTTCTTAGAAATGACGATGTAGAGAAAACATGAATTTTCTCGATATAATACAATTACGCTTAAATCCAATGGGAAAAGAGTAATTGCAATCAACACATCACCCTTTTATTCTTTGAGTTAAATAATAATAATCAAGTACAGATACGACTAATTGTGAAGGATAATAAGTTAAATAAAAATGTAATTTTGGGCATAGATAAAAAAAATTATTAGCATTAGACGAAGTTAGTATGACCTCTAAATTTTCCATTTAATAATATTAAATAAACATTAAGACTATTGTGAAAACTTTGTTCTTATCTGATAAGATTTGGACAGTCGTAATTGGTATCAGGGGATATGAATTCTATAATTAAATTACGATAAATTGTGAATTTTATCCAAATATTTACATGCGAGATCGAGAAGACGTCATTGTTAATCAACATTTTTATTAAAAACAAAAATATGTGACAGGCTTTTCCTAATGCTTATGATTAGCAAATTATCATACATATTTTGTAACAATACAATAAGAATATGACGCAG